ATCGGCATTGTCATCATCATAAACATGGGCCGAACTCAGGCACCTCAGTACGTTCTATGATGTCGTCCACTAAATCGAAGCGCAAGTACCCATGGGCACTGAAAAAATTCAAGCTGGGACTTCGAAAAAGTAACCTCTACGGAGAAAAGCTGGCCTCAAATGGAACCACTGCTACATTGGCTTTTTAATACAATAATACAATGGCAGCACAACTTAGAACTACCCTTGAACTAACCTTGAACTTCGATCTTTTGGAACGTAATACATGCATTTGAGAACATTTTTCAAACTGAGTTTATAAAACTGCTAACATTACTTGAAGTTATAGGTTAACATAACAGACATTACAGAATGAGAGGAGGGAAAGTTATTTGTACTCATTTATAATATTTCATACGTCTTCATGGCCATCAAAATGCCAAACTGCACACATAAATACTTTAAAATGGAGGTCAACCTCAGCTAATTACACTATTCTGCCTTTGAGAAAAACAAATAATTGTTTGGAAATGATCTGTTGGCCAGCCAGTGGGAATAAATTGGAGCCTTGGATGATTGAGTAGCATGTTTTTTGTTCGAGCAGAGCTGGGTAAATTGCTCTGACGTCACATACCCTCTCTAATTTGTTCCCTTTGGGGTACAAAGCTTTGCTTCAAGTGGCCCTCTGGAGGTAAACAGAAACTTGGACTAATTCAAGGATCAGTGTTCCTAAAAAAATCTACTTTCTGATCAAAATCCAACACTCCAAAAAAAGAAAGCGTGGTATAATATTTCATTTAAATCTTGCAATCTAATTGCCAGATATGTACATACATCATCCAATCAATCTANTTTTGCTTATGATCAGCTCAAGAACATCATTCACCTATTTTAGCAGTCCACTGAACGTCACCTATGGCATGCTTCACCGCTATGCCTTTACGACGATTAACAGCCACTAATCGCATAGTTGCTTGACTGATTTGTGTTGCCATACATGTTATAGATAGCCCGGATATGAACTTCTATTTTTGGACGGAGTGAAGTTCAGGGCTATTTTGAGATTGCTTTCCACCATTGGCTCCCACGTGCAGCTGCGATTTTTGGCCACTTGTTGCTGCTAGAAATCCCCTGACAGCATGAAGGTCAGGGGAAAAAGAAGCCAAATGGCCCGAGTTTCTTGAGGAAAGGCCAAGGTGTCTCGTGGTCTTCCACTGGGCTTTTTCAGTTTGAACTTGCAATTGTCGGCTTGGAAAGGAAAGAAGAATTTTCTTCAGTCCGGAGAAAAAGGATAAGATTGAAGTCTTACCATGTGTCAATGAGGGCCCATTTGTTTCCAGGTTCCCCTGGCTCTGCACCAGAGTTGCCGAAGAGAAATGACCCATATGATTCAAACTCGGTGAGAGCTATTTTTGTATGGCCTGAAGAAATGGTCCGTTGAAGTCAAACATCGGGCTGATGATTGAAGTACAGAGCTCTGAGCCAACAAAGCGGACTTCAATGAATACTTACGGTTTGTCTCAAGGTCTGCTGAAATCTCCTTCATCACTGTCTGGATTAGACAGAAAAATTCGTAAACCAGTGATCGTTTCCCAAGGGAGCATTGACAAAATAGGGCTCTTCATTCTCTGCTCTCTAACCCAGCGACCGTTTTTAGTTCCGAGGTTTGCCTGGTTCAAAAGGGAAGTCGGGCGATAAAGATAGCTGTGAATCTATCTGACAGTGTAAGAACAAGGCTCAGAAAAGGTGGTGGACAAGAGTGCAAGGAGAGAATGTGGATTTTCATGCTTGATCTCGGGAACTCTTCTTCAATAGCTTGGAGCTCCAGCCGAACCTTGTTATCCTTTTCAGCGATCTGTAACAAAAATGCTACCTTTCTCCTGTGACGACGTACTCAAGTGCTTTCCGCGGTTCAACCTCGTCATTGATAGCTCCCAATCGGGAAAGTTGACACCGAGAAGAACTGCCAGATTTTCAGAAATTGAAAATCATTTTTCATCGACACACCATCTCATTCAGATTTTGTTTTAAAGCTATCCCACATTGTCGGAACGACCTAGCTCGGTAACCGACGATTTATAGACTGACACGACTGAAACGAGGCTCTAAACAAAGTAGAACCCATATCCTGCGAAATTATCAGGCCAAGGTCAAGCTCAGAAAAAACTCAATGGCTTTGTTTATTGCGAATTGCTCTTAGAAGAACACTGAAACAGAAAACTTTTTGCTCATGAGTTTCTGACATTCAATGGTTCCAACAAAGGAAAAACTCAGAAAAAGGTGAATAATTTTTTATCAAAGTGGAAAAGTACAAATAAAGCCTCTGGGCATTAGTACCGTCTGAGAGATACACCCCCCCCCCCCCTCATTCCACCTTCAGTCAGAGCCTCAGGGGCATATTGAATGTGTATGAGTCCTATACAATGATTTGCGGTGACCAGCCGATTAACAAGTCACTGCTTTATGCTCCCATGCGAGTCTAGTACCGGTTAACCGATCCAGGAGAAATGGAGGGCATCGTTGGCCTGGGCGGATATCGATTTGGGATTCGAATCCAATGCCGTGCCTTTGTGATAGTGCGCCTGTTCTCACTTCACTATCTCCGTCCTTCATTTTTCAATATATTTTCAACATAATTCAGTAAAAACAAGGGGTTTCGCCGTGTGGAAATTTTTTTACGTACTGCGGGTTATTGGTCTTGGTCTTGTGCATTGGTCCTCGAGAAGAACTCTTAAAATTGATTAGTACTCTCAAGACAGCTATCACCCCATCCACTCTTGATCAGAAAACTCTCAGCATTGTCGTTAGTCTTGGTTTGTCATTAGCTCCATGCAGTGGTCCCCAAATTGCTTTTGCAATGTTTGAGAACGTAATCCAAATTTTAGTTTGAAACTAAGCCAGTACTGTGCCTATCTAACCTGGAATAACAGCGATTACGTGTGCCTATCCGTAATACGAAGCTGTTCTAACGAGGTCCTGTCAAAGTAGAATGAGCTAGTACGGTAGTACGGCAATGTAGGGCGCAAACTGCTGCTACTGCTGATTGCATGATTCACGGATCACCCTTTCAGAGGTCAGCTGAGTCCTGTTTGGTACCGCCTCACTTGTACCAAACGGAGTGACAGGGTAATTCACTGTCGATCGATCCCTCCAAGTCACTGCTACTCATAGCTGATATTGGTGAAGGATAAAAAGGATAGATTTTTTGAGCGTCGACCAGGATGTGCCCGCGCATTCGACTTTCATTAAGAATCTTAGTGGTTAGTAGCGCGTTGAATGCGTATGGGGCCTATACAATGACTTGGGGTTGCCTGCCGTGCCGTTGAAGAAGTCAGTGGTTTTTTGTCCTATCAGATGGATTCGGAAGCAATCAATCAACTCCGAAAGAATGGCAGGCATGGTTGGCCTAGGCGGATACTAAACCAGTATTTGAATCCGTCACCATGCGTGCGTAATAGTGCGCCACTTGCCACTACACCACCTCCGCCCACTGATATTGATACATATTCGTTACATTCACGGTTCTACACAGAAGTCATAATGACACCTCCAAAAAGGTCAGACATCTCCAACAAAACTCATTTTATCTTTATTACCAAGGTTTACGACTTGATTGTGTTTTGGGTTGTAGACAAACAACAACTGTGGCAACGTCATTCTGAGTCAACGATGTGACAAGGGCTTAGTTCTGAAAAAATTATGTCAGTCAGACCTATAAAGCGAACGAGAAACATGAAGTAGAAGCGTCAAAAGTGCAGATTCGTTATACGTACTCTTACCCCAGGGTCTCGTACTTTGCAACTACATAGTGCATCCATCAGAATCCATTTTCATGATGAAGTTTTCTTTCAAACGCGATGAGTTCCCTACTTTTTAGAGTAGTAAAAAGACCTAATTTCCGTTCTCGGAAGAAAATCCAATCTTCAAAGTTTGTACTTTGAAGCTCCCTCTAAGGGATCTTCAGCGATAAATAACAAATGGAAACGCTAAGCTCCAGTGTGATGGGATAGCGACATTGTCTACCAGCGTCATTTGTTAAGCCAAAAGCAATGCAAATGTAGAATGGTATCGACCCTGAAAAAATAAATCACTGGAAGTAACCCATTGAGCTAGGCGATTCCTCTACCCACAATTTGTTGCTATCTCGAGGAAGCAGTAAAGAAAGAAAGAAGATTTCCTGTGGGTTTTTTTGCTGGAGCGTAAGCGATGTAAACAGCCAACCTCCCAGTGACAGATAGTGAGGCGTGCATTTTTCTTCAGATGTACGGATGTTCCGAACCAGCTATGATATTGGCATGAGGGGTGTAAGGGTACTACTGAGTTGCGAAGCGAACCATTTGTCGATATCTTCGTCTACAGAAGTGAACATTTGACAGTCAACTCAGGTTAGAGGTAGTGAACTGTAAAGTGTGCCCTATGACACATGGGCGGACACGGGATCGGTCCCTGTTCGAAATACGGGCAGATCGAACAAGCTTTGAATCCTTCAAAGCTAAAAGAGGTGATCAACTCTCAGGAGCAGGGTTGCTTAACTCCGAAAGCTTTATCCTTTTTACTTTATCACACAGATCGACCTCAGTTGAAAGACGAAGAGGCAGCAGCTGAAATTATTTTTTATAGTTTCCAACTTCTCTCTTGCTTTAACCAAAAGACCAACCTTTAGTATTTTTTATTACAATAAAACCTGTTGCCAACAACTCTGAAGTTTTTAAAAAGAGGGTTCGCATAGTTGAGAATACTCGTGAAAATTCAAGTCTTGTAACTGACTTCAATCACTTTTTGACAAGCCTCTAATGGTTTCATTCAACTGGGGAAAATTCCCAACTGAATGAACCCAATGGAAAGACGAAAATCTATCTGTTAAGAAAATGTTGTGCCTTCATTTTTTTTTCTGTGCAGGCCTGTTTCACATAAATTTTACTTCACACATGATTTTCAACTGATTTGCAAACCAAACTTTATATTTTCAGCTTCTCTTCCCAATACAATTTCTTGTGGCCGTCATCGGAAACTCCTTAACAATGTCTGTACTTCTGAGCGCACACATGAAGAATCGGTGAGTGTTGCGGTTGTGGAGGCTCTGCTAGTTTACCAGTCTGTGGTGTCGTGTGAATGGAGTGCCTATCACAAATCTTTATGAAACTGCTGCCATAGAGACAATCCATGAAGTAGTGCTGAATGGGAGCACTTAACATTTTGGTCCAAGTTCAGGCTTCTGCATAGTCCAAGTCACTCACGCATTCACTTGTAACTAATAGTAAACTTGATCATTGAAGTTTTTTATGCGATGGTAAAAGTTTGTGGACCATATTTTGGACAGAGGTGGTGTGGTGACAAGCGGTGCACCGTCACATGCGCATGGTCCGTCAATTGAATCCCGAACATGTCTGCTCAGACCACCAAATCATCCCACCCCCTACTGCCATCCCCTGGGAGTCGATCAATTGATGAGAGACTCGTCTAGAAGGATAGCAGCACTGATTTTTGCATCATTTGTGCTAAACGGGCCAACGGGCCACTACCCATTCGAAGTTCCGGGACGATTTTGATTGTAGGTCGAGCTGAGAAGGGGGGGGGGGGGGGGGGGGGGGGGGNGGGGGGGGGGGGAGGGGGAGGGGTTGTATCCCTGAAATAATGCTGAAGACGCCAGAAATCATGCCAAATATTATTTCTCATTTTTTCATCCTTTCAAGTGTCGTAGTGCAGTACAAACACTCCTTAGGACTTTTAGGTTTGGAATAACCCATATTTGTTATTTGGACATTGGGCCTTTGATAACCTCCCCTACCATAGTAGGACCAGTTTCATTATTTCCCAGGGCCTTCAATGTTGGGACTTGGTAGTTTCGGGGCTGCATTATTATTGATGTGACTGAACGCGAAGGTTGTCGTCCAGCCTCTGCAGCTATGGTGCTCAAATAGATCCCTGATGCTGAAACAAAAGGCATGAGAGCCAGCATGTTAGCACTCACACCCTCATCCCCATTTCGAAAGTTATTTCAAGGTTCAAGCCGAAATGATTGCCTGCAATTGTTTGTGTTTGCCGACCTCAATTAAAAATAGCCAGAACTTTGATTACAAGCTATATTTGGAGGTGAAAACACACACGTCACCTTCTTCAAAATAAAGGCGACGTGACTGTCTTCAGTTCATGGACAAAAAGGGTTCTCCACGAAAATGAATTGGGGGTTTTATTCGTATTATGGGAAAATTTGTATGAATGGGAAAATTTGTATGAATATAAAAAGTTAAGTAGGTCAACGAGTGCTTGAGAGCGACTACGGCTTTTTGGTAGGGTTCATGCTATAATACTTACTACTGCCCAGTGGTATGGGGAGGGGGGAAATCAGAACTTAAGGGTCTTGCTTAAGAATTTCATCTGGAAACAACTGTAGCCCATCGTAAATTCATGACATATCTGAATTATAACTCATATTTTTTGTACTAAGTATCTAACTAAAAAATGACAGCTCCCTTCCGGTGATTGCTTCCTTTTTTTTATGAAAAAACAGAGATTTTTCAAGGTCTAGGAGACATTGGGACATCTCTATTTCGGGTTCTTATGTGGAAGACAAGTCGAAAGCGATCGTAGTAATATGAAGCTCACAGCTGCTATGGCTGCTAAACATTTTCGATGGAGTTACTAATAAAATCCCGTTTTTTTTTACAGTACCTCAGAACTTGAATTCTTCTACACTTGCTTTGTTTCAGAGCTAATCATCTGCTGGCCTTCTTGGCCCTATGCGACATTTTGGTGTTCGTAATGATGTTCCCACACTATCTAGCGGCATTGGACGTCTTTGCCCACAATACACAATTCAGACTGGCGCATTTCAATTCAAAGGTCCACTTTGCTGCTCTAACGAATTGGTTCTCAGCGGCGGCTATTTGGTGAGTATCCAGGTAAAAGACCTTCCCAAAACATCTCACGAATTTTAATCAAGTCCATCATACCGTAGAGAGGCATCCAGAAAGTATGTATTAATGGGATTCATGCAGGTGTAATTAATACTTTTCTAGGAGCACAAACTTCAGAGCGAGGTAAAAAAATTCTTCAGACTTATTTCGTGAGACTTACAGCTTCTCCGCCATTTGAACCTGGATTTTAAAAGTGTCTTTTACACTTGTATGAAATGGACATATTTTTCTGGATGTTTTGCCTTTATGACAACTCCTTTTTACGATTTTCCTGCTGACGTTATCAATTTAGTGAAGGTCAGTAGAGCTTCTTCAGGTTCGTGCTGGCTGTGTCCGTCGAGCGACTTCTCATTGTGAAGTTCCCGTTCCGTTCTCTTGACAACTATAACGTATGTGACTTACCTTTTATAGTTACCGTCAGAATGAATTTCAGTAGAGAAAATTCAGATTTTCCATTGTTCCGACAAAGTTTTTACTCCAATAATGATAAGTAAAAACTACAGAAATATACAGAAAAATAAAATAATATACAGAAAAATAGGAGCTGGTGACAATACGGATTTAGGATTGTAGTAAAAACGCGTCTATGATGTCTTTTTTCAGTCATGGCAAATCGTCTTCATATCGATGTGTATCCTCGTAGGAACATTCCTTCTCACAAGGTAGGTCGAGAACTATCATCATCATCCCGCTAGGCGAAAAGTGATTTGAATGATGTAAATGTACTTGCTATAACTTATCAGCCATCGCTCTTAGCATGATAAGCCGGGGATGCCTACTATAAGATTGAAATCTTTTTCAAAACCCATTATGTATTCACAGACAATGATGACTTTCATACTGAGTAAGTTTGAATGGCTTTCAGCTATCACCACGTCTCGTACACCTGCAAGACCTTCACCGTGTGCTCAGGCACTCAATTGATCGGAGGCTGCTATTCGAATGCGTTACCCAATTGGGGATCACGTCCAAATCCCACATCAGCCCTTACAAGACAATGGATAGAAATGTCCGTCTTCTTGAATGCTGTCTTTGCCGTGTTACTGCCAGTTTTTGCTGTTGCTGTGCTGAACATTTCGCTCGTTCGGCTTCTCAAAAAGAGAAATACTCAGGTAAGCTGCAAGTTCATTTTGTTACAACACCCTCAGCTCTTATAAATTCCATGTGGGTTAAGACATTGATTAGGCCGTTCCGAAAGAGTTGCCTACCCCTGCTATGTACTTGGCAGGCTATATATCTGCGAACCCTCCGAAAACATTTCTGCATTAGGTAGGAGCTTCAGCGAGTAGTGCAGATGCCCCTTGCACGGCTTTGAACTTTTGAGGGGGGAGGGGGGTGTAAAAAACATTGATGGGATCAGACGTGTGAGTTAGGAAGTGCCATTATATTAACTACTCAAATTCCAGTATTTAGTATCCACTGAGAATGTGAAGAGAACGGAGGAGGAGGTTGACGAGGGAGAGGAAGTATAGTTGAGTGCCTATCCTATAAATCAAATCTCGTACAGATACCTGTTCAGGCCACTAAAAAGTTTCTCTTCTTAGAGATCAGCAGATTCGAGGGTGACGCTGGGAGAATTGAGTGCCGCATCCATTGGGACGTGCAAGTCACTCTATGGAACAAATAAAAATTTACTGCAATTCTGGATGAAAGTAGAGTTCATGGGAGCATCAAAACCAAGGTCGACAACTCTGAATAACTTACTCATAAGCTTGCAACACCGTAATTTCTCCAGCTTGCCAAAATGGTCAACGCATGTTAGGCCCCTCACTTGATGGGCCAGTAACAACTCCAACTTCCAAGGACTCGTTCCTAATCACTCCAGTCCGTTAGGCTAACCCAAAAAAATTCACGCTTGTAAAGATGCTACGATCAGTGATTGTATGCGATATGTGTGAGTTATTTTCTTTCAGGAACTTTTAGTGAACACTGTGAACACAAATCCATCGGCAAGACACGAACAGGAGAGGAAAATGACGCATACTGTATTGGCTATAGTCACGTGTTTCTCCTTAACACAAGGGCCGTCAGCTCTGGTGTTCATCTATCAGTTACTCTACCCTTCGTCAAGGTGGGTATTGGTTTTTCATAAAAATCGCAATCGCATTGTTTAATTGTTTCCTTGTCACGGTGCAAATGGTGACAGAGGTAAAGCTGACCTTAAATGAAATAGCCCACACTCTGTCCAACGATAGTTCCTCTATAGAGCAAACTTGTCTTGCACATATAAAACCTAGATATTATTTGAGCCTCAAGCATTTGTTGCTGTGAGTTGCCACCTGAAGCTTTTTGAGGATCTCGTGTCAATGTAATTTGTATTACTGTCTCCCTCCATGCCTTCATGTACTGGATCGGGTCATTCGAACGCGATCTCCCCTCCAGAGGTGAACTTCGTAGCTCTTGGTGCCACTGGTTACGAAGGTTGATCTGCAGAAAGCGTCTCTTTAATGCATGATGAACATTGAAGAGAGGCTTTCTGCAGATAAACCTCCGTAATCAGTGGCACCAATGGCTCCAGCAACTGTCTTATTGTCAGGCCCCATTTCAGTCGCATAACACATCGTTGGCAGTACTAATGCTTTGAATACTAAGTTCCTGAGGTTAGAATCGCTACCTAGTCTGTCACTTCACGGAATGAATCGAAAACTGCCCATGCAGCACGTTTCTCGGATTCTGCTGGGAGCAATATTGTTTGACGTATTCATTCTCCTCCAGTTACAAAAAGAATTCAACTTTTTGTAGAGCTTTTCCATCTTTTTCACTGTTCCCGTATGGCACCATTTGCTCACCATTATTTGTGTTTTGCTTACGGTTATCTGCGAGCCTGTTTGCATTTCCACTGTATTTAGCTCATTGACCATTTCGACATTACTGTTTGACGATATCATAGCAGCGGAGCAGAAATATTGGCGTTTTTACCATTGACAGAATATCTACTTGATTCGCTTTAACATCGCATTCTGCAGCACAGCCGTGAACACCTTAAAATATTTCGCGTCTTATGTAGAACTCTTTTTCCGACAGCAGTTTCCGCTTTCCGCTCGGACAGTTGGATGAAAACTTGGGTATAAGTGGCACTGTTTGAGCGAAATCGAAACCTTCTTGTAAGCTGCAAAAAAATCGAGCGTAGAAGATAATCTCGGCTTCTCTCGATTAGCTGTATGGTGCTTTGGATGTTGTCCATGCATATATTTTTTTTCTAAACTTTTATGCTCTAATCTCTGGTATTTATCCGAAATGCGTTCATACGTTAAAAAGAATTTTCGTAACGACTAATGGTCGCGGTAAAAGAATAGTGAAGCGTTAGTTGGAGATGTCTACCTGTTGACATTCCTTCAATCCTTCAACAGGAGAACTGTCTTTGGTTCTTTCCATCGTTCTGGAATTTACCTCGTTTTGTATTTCGAAGGCTACTCAGTGATGCGAAGAGTCCCCCTGTCATCCTTTTGGCGGAATAGTTGACTGGCTAAGCGGTGCTGCCGCTCTAATTGAAACTGTTCCTCTCAGCTTCCCTTCTTGTTGCACTTTTCTGACCCTTTTCTATATTTACATGCCATTCACTATATGTCTCTTTTATCTGAACGTTAGGGAATGTCTTAAGACAACATGTATGCACGTCATATTGAAAGGCACAGCTCATGGGGTAATTTTGGGCTAAGCAGATAATGACGAAAAACGAAAGCGAAGGTGGAGTTGTCGATGGAGGCAGAAAGAACGCGATGTTTCCAAATTGATGAAAGGCTTTTGAAAATCCGTTAAAAAGGGGTTGGACGAGAATAAGTCCAGTAAAATGAAGTAGGGGGTATATTTGGACGAGCTTTACAGTGAACGTCAATACGTAAGTGTAAGCCCTGGTGCGGATAGCTACCACAACCACAAAGTAAAACGTCCTCTGAAACTCGTCCAGTGATAAGCACAGTTGACAAAAACACTATTACAGGCAGAAATAACCCACCTTTTTCCTCCTTTTGAGGTAGAAAAAAATATAAAGGACCACAACAGCGAAAAGAGTAATAGAGAAAAACAGAGTAAGAGTAAAAGATTGCCTCACCACCCGGCGATAGCTGATTGCATCAGGAGCGTGTGGGTCCTCATACGAATAGCGCAACCTGTGTCGCCTCGATGCTCGCCTCACACAACATCGGTCGATGTTCGTGGCATCCGGCCGATTCGGTAGTGGGGCTCCTGTTATACCCTTACTCTTGAACTTTTGGGCCCGACAGCATCCTTTTTGTTACCCTTGTGGCCACTGGGCAACTCTGAGAAAAAAATTTGAGAGACCATTTTCATCGTGAACTGTGCCTTCAACTAGAACAAAGCCTGTCATCTATAATTACGTTCTCGCAGAAATTAGGAGACGGTGAGATAGCGCCAAGTGTCCGTCGTGATTACATCGAGCCAAATGGGAACTACTCACTGTTACTCAAATTTATATGAGTTTTCCAAATTAGGGTGGTCTTGTGAATGAATCTTCAATCTTCGATCGTGAACAAATCTTTTTAGCGCCGGTCTACGAACGGCATCGATTGTTGCAAACCAGTTGGTACTGACAGGGAAGATGCTCAATGTGGTGCTATTCTGCATGACTTCGTCTACGTTCCGCCGCAAACTCTTCCAAACCTGTAGGCGATGGCTGCTCGTAGTCGTTTACTTCGACCGTCATCGAGGAATCAGGTATGAAAAGGGTCAGTGGTCGTTTTTTCCTCTTTCGCTTTTGTTGTGGCCTGCCTAAGCAAGCTCTGCTTTGATGTGTTTTGTGTTGTCATTAAGTTGCCAGCCTTTCGAAATTATGAAAATGAACCGGTATGCATTACGCAACATGCAAGAGGGCCAAATGTAGACCGGTAGTGAATTGTGAGCACCCCACAACCTTGTTGTAGCAACTGCTAGGCGGCTCCGTAGAAGCAAGTTTGGGGGGGGGGGGNGGGGGGGGGACCGGTAACTAACCTGCTGGCCTGACCTTTTAGTAGCTTCAGAGACGGCTATTGAGCATATTTGGACATACTAAAATGTGTGTATTATAGGCTCGACCCATGAATACTTCACTTTTGCTACCACCCTTCTGCATGCTCCTTTTTGCTCGTTACAAGAATACCTCAATGCTCAATATCTGGGGATGACGCCGCGGATTCAATAAAATGAATTATCAAATGGGACCAGTTTGTATTAAAAGCCAAAAGATGCCCCCGGTGGCAACAGCAGTTTAATAGCAAAGGAAGAACCACTTAACTTTCATAATATACCTGCTGCATCACGCAGGAAATCGACCTCGACCGATCCGACGACTCATACCCGCATCGAGCTTCGTGCAAAGAAGAGCTGGCTTCTTGGATTTCAGAGATATGTATGTTTAATACAATCATTTTCAGACCAGGTTTCTCGAGAACCCAGTCGAAGTCGCAAGTGACGCAGAAAACATCACTGGTATATTCGCCGAGCTCCCGTGTGCAGTCATCGACCGAGTCAGAGATGTCTTTGAAGAAGAAACCATCTCGCTCGGAATACAGCATAACCACACCGAACGGTGAAAGCATGCAATAAGATCATTCTGTTGATTCATTTCCTTTGCGGGTTTTTGTTTTTAAAAATACTTTCATCGCGAGCAACACAAATTAACAAATTCCGAGCTAAATTGCACAACTCTGCAATCACTGCAGTCCGCTCCTTGACGCTCACTTCTCAAGAATGGGCATATATGACATGGATACCTTTCTTCTTGAAACTAGTCAATATGCTGAAAACAAATATCTTCAACGAGCTTGTGATTGAAGTATAAGTGCAATATTTTTGGGAATTCTATTTTGTTCTGTCTGATCTCAGATCTGAGACTTGTTATCGTGCTCAGGCCCTTTGTCATCTGTTTTGTTCACAACTTCTCTGAATGTTCAAAAGCAAATTTCACCATTGATAATACTTGTTACTTGTGCTGCTCTTTTTTTATTGTTACTCATGTATGTAAAAAATGAATGGTGTCATATCAGACTAGTAAGCTGTTACTATAGGCAGTGCCGCTGAGGACTGTCGGTCCCCAACACAGAGAGATGGACGTTCCTAGTTTGAAAACGATGTTCAAACGGGTATAACAAATATCCGTGGTTAAGATATGCAAAAAATATTTGGATCTATTTCATGACGATGAACAAGCAAAACTGGATCAGAGAACGAAAGTAGCGTGAATAGCCTCTGTCCTTCCTTGATTAGGGTGCCGTAGCTTAGGAGGGACCTTGAGGGTACCATATTATGTAGTTGAAATTCTTACTTTTTTCACTCAAAAATAAGTTGGACCTCAAGGAAAGTTGCTGAATTGTAATTGAAACTTCTATTTAAATTTATTTATGAACTTGATAGAGATTCAAATCAAAACAACTGCGCAACACGAGATAGACCGAACAAGATGGATTTTAAGGTCCCGTGAATCTGTGTGACAGTAACCCCTTTTCCAAATTCGAATGTCTGTAACACATTCACGGACTTCAAAATTCGTCTTGTTTAGACCGATAGCAGGCACAGTTATGAACTATAGCAGCAATTGCACCAAACAAAAAGGCTTTGCACTGGATTTGAACACAAAATGCTCACTGGAATCTGGAACTAGGCCGAGCACCGGTGTCGACATTGCCTACGATATAGTTATCCTATTTACGACAGAACAAGTAGCTGTTAAGCCACTATGGCACAACAGGTTATTAACCCCAATGATGGCTCTTCCTGAAATTGCTTCTCAGTTAATTCGCCTAGTGATAGGTGTTCTGAATGCTATACACAAAATGCAGAATGCTACGACGAGCTTGTGACCGTATTGGAACGAAAAGGCCATCGACGTGATACGAGAAGTTTTTCAATCAATTTTTCCCTCAATTTTTCTACAGATGGTATATGATGAAGAAAATCAGTTCATACTCCGAACACTGTACACTCTTACAGTGTATTAGGTCTACTGTTGAAATAAAAACTATTTGTTGTGTTCAAGACACCGTTTTGAATTTTCTTAAGTCCTGCGAGGATTGCCTTTTATATTTCGGGATTTGGAAACACTAGTGTAGCAATCTAGCAACTGACCCCACTATCGTAGGGTTTGACTATTTTGAGGTTCCGTTGCAAAATTTGAGCGCGATTTGTACTGTTTACACTAAGTTGTAAGAATTTGTTTAGGCCAAGTTATGGGGTTAGATCGTGAGCATTTTCGCGCGATTATTTTCTACAACTTTCGACGTGGCTTAACTCAACAGCAATGCATGGATGAACTCAGTTCAGTTTTTGGTGATGAAACTCCATCCAGGGCCAGTGTTTATCGATGGTACTGCGAATTCACCCTAGGTCGTAGTTCACTCGAAGGCGAATTTCGTGGAGGTCGTCTATAATCAGTTGTCGTTCCGGAAACGGTTGATGCTGTGCACAAACCAATACTGCAAGATCGTCATGTTACCTATCGCAAAAAATTTGACAATCCACCCAAAAAAAGGACTCGTGTCGATTGGTCGAGAGAAATGCTTACAAAATACGATCGCGGTGCTTCGAAACACGTCTACGACATCGCGACAGGT